TTAATAGACGTGGCAGTAGTCAATGCTAAAGTACAGTCATCGTAAACTTGTAAATTCCTTCTCCACATAATCCTCCATATTCAGAAACTCATTGGGTTGTTCACTGGCACAGACATAACTATTAGGAAGATCCGAGCCTTTCGATTCGTCGAGAGAAGTTGTATATCAGAAGAAGTATATATGGAACGGGTGACTTCATCCTGCACTATCCTTAAAGCCTTGGATATCCCAAAGGGACATAAGGTTGCGATTTCTAGAAGCTCATACCTTCAATGGACCTATCCCTGATTATCAGTCGCACATTCGCAACGCAACTTTCATGAAGCGCGCCAACTGTAGAACTGATTAAAACCATCTACATTCATATCTTATAAATTATCAACCTAGCTATGTAATTTAATACAGTGTATATTGTATCATTTGTATCAATTTGTTCTTGCCTGTAAACCGGCATGCCTCATGTAACAAACTGTTAGTTGAGAATAAATTATTATTATTATTATTATTATTATTATTATTATTATTATTATTATAAGTATGGGGACTTTCTCAACCTAGCGGAATTCTGAGAAACAATAAATCAATCGTGAAAGAAACGATTTAACTACGTTATCAGCATCAAATTCAATAAGCAAATGAATTTGCAGCTAACATACATAATGTACCTAGCAGTGTCTAACTTGTTGTGTACAGTGCCCTTCATCTTCTAAACTTTCCAGAATTTCACCTAATCAATTGATATTAACAAAGATACTGATGATCACCATTTAGATATTATTCGTCAATATGCATTAAAATTTTGTGTATAATTTGTTCAGTGATTGTGGATTTGTAGTGACATTGGACAATAGCCACACAATCCACAAAGCTGTGAACACGAGACTACTCAGGATATCGTCATAAAGCATTATAATAACTTGACAATCACGTAATATGACTGATAAAATTAATGAAACTATTAACAAAATCGGTCAACAAATTGACTTATAATTACCATTAAATGGTGTTGTTTTCTTGGTATCTTCATTCGCTACAGATGATTACAGTATGTTTCTCTATCAGTTGCTCATTCAGTAAATACCTCAAAACCTTGTCAGTCTAATTGATGGTCTAGCGACACAATCATGCATGCAAATAATCAGTATAAGCAGTCGAGCAAACCTCCTGTAAACTGAAAACATCAATGTCGAATTTACCCCAACACTGACTAAGGTTCAAGCCATTATCATAGACATGAGTTGGGAGTGTACTCCCCTTGGTTACAACTTATGTTCTCCCTGATAGTCACATGAGCATCACTTACTATTAATCATCTTGTAAAAACTTATTTAGCCAAATACATCTTGCAGCACCACATCACTTAGTAATATGACACATAAGCTTAAATGATTTCAATAACTTATAACCACTATATCCCAATTAAATCGTATTCCGCCTTATGATAAACTGCATACTAGTAACTAACTTGTGTGCCCAATCAGCCGGCAAGTATAAATATAAATAAATAGTCTGCCGCAGATCAGAACATTGAGTCCAGAGCATGTCTCTTACGAATACATTCATGTTTAACGATTTGTTCCTAGCTATCTGTCCCAAATTCATATAATCATCACTCACGTATTTAAATTTTGTTTTGATAAACATTCATGTGTATTGGTAGTATTACTAAACTCTATCACGGTCAAGTAAAAATGAGGTTGAGAAAATCTCCCCGTAACTAAATAAACCGTATCAAACTAACTGGAACACTAGTTGGAATTATCCACGGTAATATTTTTGTTCCTTGTGTTAGCCTACTAATACATGCAATTGGAAATCAACTCATATGGACAACTTACCGGCATAATCGTTATCTGATTTCATAATTTAAACCAAAACTAAAACCAATATTAACATTTCTACAACATTGATTGCTTGTAATATTTCTAAACACCAAATACTTACTACCTATAAGTTAAGTTATTAACTGACGGCTATTAACACGCATCGTTTTATTGATGTTACTATTATTATCATTATTGTAGTCACATTTTGTATTGCTCAAATAATCTTCACCCAAATTTTCATTTTAAGCGTGTTAAGGATGAAGGCAGATATTTTAAAATTAATACATGTATTTCCCGACCATATGTGCCGCTTTCTTTTTGATTTATCTTTCAGCTTACCCAGAGGATTCTTATTATCCTTGGTAACCTCCGACGCGCGACGATCCCACCCAATTTGGTATCGAACCAACACACGTTGATTCTGGTGGGAAAGTAGTGTAGTCGCATTGGACAATAGCCACACAATCCACAAAGCTGTGAACACGAGACTACTCAGAAAATAGACATTCAATATTTAACGCGGAGAAATACCTAACAATGGAGAAGGCGCGGAGAATGAATTAAATGGACTGAAGTTGATCGAGTGGCATGGCTCGGCCATGCAGGCGTGGTCTCTACCGAATGTTACCTTATGTCTTCTATTCATATTAAATATATTGTTCTTTCTCTAGACTAACCTTGTTCTACAGCATGTATTGGTAATTGATACGATACAGTGCGTTGGTGTAGTCGATATTGTGACTTCCACGTAAGATCTTATAGATTAGGCAGTTATATCATGACAAATCTACAAATTTAGGATTAGGTCTATTATTAGAGCAGTACTAATATCATACTAGACCATAGTTCTACAGATTCTGTTTACAGAAATTCACTCGTTAACCCTATAAAAGTGGCATCGTAAATTAGTATTAACTGCGACATGGCTTAGTTACCTTGCTGAAGACAAACGCACATCGCTTTACATATGAAGAATATGTGACTAATAATTGCGGTACTTACAGTTATATTTCATTGGAAAAGATTGCACCAGATTGCCAGGCGAAACGTTGGCTTCAAATACTTTCGTTGAGATTCTAAAAATACATTCTTCCTCTTTAATTCCTGTATATGTTCATAAAGTGGGCTATCAACTTTAACTTTTACTAATATAATTTCTCTCAGATACGTTATACAATAAAATGACAGTTCAGTCAAAATCGATCATACTTATAACCGATAGAGCTGTGTATAACTGCATATTAACAAGTTATACAACGTTAATAAGTTGTTTAAGGCCTAATTGCCCTGACCTATATTTTACAAACAACTATTAACATCATTTTTTACTATCATAATTACGGAGGTGAATCAAATAAAAAAGATTACAGAGTTCATTTCTGCACAAAACTCTGATTGAGGTCTATTTTTGACCTCATGAATGGTGAATTGCTTCATGTAATTGCGGTCTACTTAGTTATTAATACTATTCTAATAATAGATCGAATCCTAACATTGTGGATCTGTCATAATGTAACTGCCTGATCTGTAAAACTTTACATGGAAGTCACATCATTGCCTACACCAAATCATCGTATAGTAGCTATCAGCAATATATGGTGAAGAACACATTTAGGGTGGAGATAGAACAATATATTTAATATGGATAAAAGGTATATAACAACACTAAACACTGACCACGCCTGCAAGGCCGGGCGATGCCATCCGATCAATTGGCATTCAATTCATTTAATCCTTCTCGCCTTCTCCTTCGTTGGGTTTTCCTCCGCGTTACATACTGAACATCTATTTTCCCAGTTGTCTCGTGCTCAGCTTTGAGAATTGTATAGTTTAGGCCCAGTGTCACTACAGCATTTTCTTGAGTTTCCGTTGTTACAAATAACTACGCTGAGCTGACTAAACATTCATGCAGGTTGTGATCAACAAGTACGTCATACTACTAATAAATTGGAATAAGAGCTATGTAACAAGCACAAACATTACGAAAATTGACGTGAGACGGAAAAGCTGCTGTCAGTAGCTGATAAATAACGACATCCGAAATCCTCGACAATATGTAACATGTACGCGAAAACCCATGGCTTAACGCTCCGACAGTGCCCTGTTTAACGACAAGCAAAAACCGAACAAATGGCAAACATTATGGAAACCGTTGGTTTAAACAAGTGTTAAATACATAAATTGTAAACGACCGCTACAACTATTGAGACAATGTAATTATAGTGATAGATGCAGTAAATGTCATAACTACATGTGAATGTTTCAGGATGTTACACGTCAAACTTAAGTTCCAACATATGGGGGGGAATTGCGAGGAATACAACTATTTACTGAATATTATTAACTGGCATAAAACAATGCGCAAAAGAGTCGAAGGGAAATGAATAACGATCGAGAATGTAAACCAGTCGTAAAAATGTCTCTAAAAGTCACATGGTGGAATTTTAATGCTTTCTTGCTTTTTGTTATCACCTTCCTAATAGCATCTGTAAAACAACTTTCCTAATTGTTTTTAGTACACATAGAAGTGTTTGTGATTTTGAGTGATTTATATTGCAAACACTTGAACACGTTGTCTGTCTAAATATATAATTATCACCATAATAAGTACATGTTTTATGACTGAGCTTTCAGTAGTTTCAAACAATAAAAACAACAAACAGTAGAGCATTCTTTGATTCATTATCTCGAAAGGCGAACGTTATTATCTTAATTTGAGGTGATCTTCACCGGTATAAATTCATCATATTCAGGTTGTTTATGGATATATGTAGCGTCCAATAAAAGACTTACGTGACCTTGTCTTGACCATTTTATTGTGAACGCGTTCCAGTCAATATTACTTGTAAGTATCATTTGCTAGATAACTGATAACGAAACTAATATAGATGAGCGTTTATATTCATACAGTGAGATAAATCAATCAAGGTATATATCAAGGTCTTTGAACACTGAGAAGATAACATGAATCGCGAGGGAAGAAATCAATTTGTTTGTTCAAATTCGTTACATAGATACTGGCGTCTGTAGTCTCTGCAACAAAATAATTAGAAAACAACTTATCCACTTTAATTTTGCACCGTTGGATGCAGTCAAACAGTCCACCGCTGATTTGCCTTCGGTCAATACAACGTCTTGTTACGAAGTTTTTATTCACATTTTCTCGTTTTTTAAAGTCACTTGTTTAGTTACACTAAAAGTGGATGTCATATGTATATCTGCAGCGGCTAATTCGATTTTTGCTCTTACTATATTGTTGCTTGATATTCTCACTAACTGTCGTTGTAACGAAATTGTTACCTGAAGAAAATGCCACGGGCTCCCGCTCTGTTTACAAACGATGCAAGACATCAATTTACATGCTGCCTATGCTTACATGTGAGGACAGGGACGATCATTTTCGGGATAACTCAGATAATTATCCAACTTGTCTTTATATCGTTTCTTTTCCTGATGACGTTTAATCCGAGACTTATTCCAGAGGATAGTCATGGAAGTTTAGATCCATCGCAGGCCAACGTCCGTAAGTTTTACTTCATTCTCTTGTTGCTGAATTTACCCGTCGATTCACTTTTCTTTCATGACTGCCTTGTTCCCACCAATCATTTGATCAATAATCTGCCTAACTCACATATCGTCCGTTGATTATGATTGCATTCATTTTGCTTGCAGCTATTTTGTTTTTGCTACATGGGATTGTTTTAATATCAGGCTTTTTTCACACTGTTTTATATTTTTCGGGATTCTGTTCACTCTCTAACGCATTATATTCTGAATCTGTACTCTCTCACTCATCCTATCCCTGTTTATAATATGGCTATAGGCCTGAATTTCCATTGTCATACCAACTTAAGGTTGAGCTTGGACAGTGCATAAAGTATACGTAGATTAGAACCGTTTCAAGAATGAAGTAACAGTCATTTTGGATTATGGTAGTTTGTTTATATGTCCATCAGTATTTTATGACTTGCTACAACTGATCTTCATTTTTTGAAGATATCTTCGTCCCAGTCCGTTAAATAAGAAAATATTCACCCTGAAGTTCTCTTTTGTCATTCTGACAGTCTAATAGTTTGCTTCAAATTTCCCTTTCTAAATTTATTAAAATTTCGTAAAAGTTGCACTAACACTTTTATAAGTGACATATGTGTTGTCCATTTTTGCTTTCGTGTATCACCTACTCGCTGCCTGTCCCTCGTGTCACTGGTAATGTGATGTGTTTTGATTAATTTTGAATAGGGCCGACTGAACTCAGTCAGTCAGTAACAACGTAGAACTTCGTACGTACGTACGTCAGTTCGAGTTGCCACACCACATTAGCACAGAGATGCAGTGGTTGATTCAAATCCCGTAGTGGTAGAGGTAATAAGAGTATGAGCAGTAATCGGGAAGATTAGGGTTTGGAGATGTTACTTAAAGAGTATAATACAATGAAATAAATTTGGGAAGAGGAAAAAAGGGACATGAAAAATTCAGAAGATTAGAATTCGGGAGAACACAAAGAGTGTATGCACCTGCGCCATTGCAAACTATTTTGAACCGTGTCATTCAGGGTCTCTAACCATCGGTTGCTATCATCTTGCTGTCCCCAACCAGATAGTCTACACCTACCAACATGACTCAGTTCACTTGTCAGTGACTTCATGGACTTATGCCATGTTTTGGTCTGGCCGCCCCTAGCTTTCTTCCAATCTACTCCTATACCACTGAACATCGCACGTCGAGGCAGTCGGTCGTTGGGCATACGTAACACGTGTCCCAGCCATCTCAACTGATGAAGTTTCACTACTTCATCAATTGATTTGCCATCCTTACCTAGTACCCGTTTCCTAACAACGGCATTACTTACTCAATCATCCCAGGATATACGAGCAATGTTTCGAAGACACCTATGATCAAATACTAGTAACCTACGAATATCCTCTACTCTTACCGGCCATGTTTCACTGCCATAAAGTAGGACGGGACGAACTGCTGCACAGTAAACACGTCCTTTGGTTGATAGACGAATATCTCGCCTACGCCATAAATGACGCAAGTTGGTAAAAGCTAGTCGAGCCTTCTGTATCTGTGCTGAGATTTCGTCACACACCAGACCACACGGGCTGATGAGACTTTCAAGATAAGTGAAGCGATCGAGATGCTCAATTACTTCACTCCCTATCATTAGTTCGGGTGTCAATGAAACCCAATCCTGAAGCAACATTTTGCATTTCGAGGGGGAGAATCGCATCCCGAACATGCTTGCATTGTTGCTTAGAGTGGTCAGAAGATTCTGCATTTTGTCAGCGTCTTCACCAAATAAAACTATGTCATCTGCATATTCTAAGTCGACAAGTTAATCTCCCGGTAGAAGTTCAACCCCTGGAAATTTAGACTAGACTGAACTCAGACCTCATTGATTCACGTTTAGCTTACAGTCTACTCAGAAGAAATAAGTATTTGACACCCTCAGCATTATTATTTCCACTCATCGGTTTTTCCTGAAAATTTAACGTTTTGCTCGATTTACAGGAATATTTCTGTCGGAGTGTTTCTACATGATATCAATATCTCGGTCCTGATGCAATTGTCCGTATATTGTAGGCTAACCACTTTACGTCAAAAGCTTTTAAGAATTCCGAAACTACGTAGATTAGTATGCCAATTGCGACATTAAATTTCTTTCCCTTATATATATTTCTCAGAACCTATGTAGCTGAATTAAAAACACCTGAATTATAAAAATATTGATTTCTCATATGTGTGCAATGACAACTACAGTCCAGTCTTCTGTGAAATTCTTGACATTAGGGTCGCCTTCGATTCGTTGGACAGGACTATCCTGGAACGGATGCACATATGTGCCTGGTCCTACGTTGTAGCTGACTGACTGACTGACTGGTTATTCATTGAAGACGTGTGCTCCTGAGAAAGCCTTATATACAAGCACCTCAGGCAGAGTGAGGGCATACAACCACCTTTCTCCATTGCCTCACTCAAGCAGTGGGGTTAAGCAGGTTTGCTCGACTTCACCATTCCTCTTCAACTTTTTCATCGATGACGTTCTGGAAACAGCTGTGATGGATGTGGGTAATTGTAGTCTAGATCTGTTGTCTGGAAAAAGATATTTCGACCTTGAGCATGCGGATGATATTGTCTTACTGTGCGATGACACCTAAGCCATGCAATCTGCACTTACTCAGTTGGCAATTAGTGTCCGTAGGTATGGCGTGTGCTTCGCACTTTCGAAGTGCAAAGTACTTTTACAAGACTGAGAGGACCCTGAACCTGCACTCACCATGAGTGGTGAGCAGATAGTAGGAGTCGGGAAGTTCGTGTATCTAGGTAGCTACGTAAGTGTTGACTTCTTTTGGTCCTTCACGATTCCCTGGTTGGGGTCCTAGAAATGGTACAACACTGTCTAGAGAGGTTATCAGACATGACTCAGAATAGAAGCCAGTAACGATCCTGCTTTAACTTCTAATTTTTTCATAAAAGTGAACTTCTTTGACTGAAAGAATTCCTTCTGATTGTATTTTTTTCCTAACTGAACTGTTTCTCCCATTATTATTATTTCATTCCTGTACATTTATTTATTATTTATTTATTTGAACACAAATATTGGTACAAGAGTGCGCCAAATATATATGCGCCACACAAAACAATGAGAATTTAAAGAGAAGGAAAAAGAAAAAACGTAAGGAGCGCAAAGAAAGAGAACAATAACGAAGAGATTGGTGTAAGGTAGTGTAATAGTAATAATAATAATAATGGGGGAACGGAAAGGTACAATCGGAAGAAATCTTTCAGCTAAGGAAGACAACCGCTTTTTACGAAGAAAGTAAAAGAAGATTACAGCAGGATCGCCACTGGCTTCTATTCTGAGCCATATCTAATAACGTCTCTAGCCACTGTGTTGCATCATCTCTCGGACCTTAGCCAGGGAGTCGTGAAGGACCAACACAAGCCAGTCCTTTGCAGCTTTCTTTCATGCCACGACACCATGTCATGCACTGACCACCTCTCCGCTTCTTCCAACCGGTCCCAGAGTCGGCAAATAATGCACGACGTGGAATTCTCTGGGACGACATTCGTAGAACATGTCCAAGCCACGGAAGTCGGTGTCTCAAGATGGTGACACCAATTGCATTATCGTCTCTGTGCCCGAACACACGATGCCGAACCTCTGCATTACTAACATGGTGTTACCACTGGATGTCAGCAATCCTTCGGAGACAACGATGATCGAACACAGAAAGTCATCTTACATCCTCAACTCGGAGAGGCCAGGTTTCACAAGCATAGAGCAAAACTGCTCTCACCGACGCGTTGTAGATCAGACCTTCTACAGCCAGACTAACATCACGAAGGCGCCAAAGATGGCCCAGAATGACATAAGCCGCTCTGGCTTTCACTATACATGAGTCGATCTCATCACTCACACCATCACCAGCACTTATGCAGCTACCTAGATACACGAACGTCTTGACTACGTCTATCTGCTCACCATCCAGGGTGAGTACAGGATTAGAATCCTTCCAGTCTTGTAGAAGTACTTTGCACTTCGAAAGCGCGAAGCACACGCCATACCTACGGACACTGATTGCCAACTGATTAAGTGCGGATTGCATGGCTTGGGCATTATCGCACAGTAAGACAATATCGTCCGCATACTCAAGGTCGAGAAGTCTTTCTCCAGGCAACAGATCCACACCGCCATTACTTACATCCATCAGAGCTGTTTCCAGAATGTCATCGATGGCAAAATTGAAGAGGAATGGTGATATTGGGCGACCCTACCTAACCCCACTGCTCGAATGGAACAGTGGAGAGAGGTGTCTATATATAGGGCCTTTAGGATGTTAATAAACTTCTCAGGCACACCCTTCTTCAATAGACAATCCCAGAGAACAGTCCTGTCCAACGAATCGAAGGCAGCCCTGATGTCAAGAAACACTACGATTGTTGGCCTTTGATAAGTACGACGGTGTTCTAACATCTGACGGAGGGTGAAGATATACTCAATACATCCTCGACCAGAACGAAACCCAGCCTGCTCCTCGCGAGTCAATCTTTCTAGGGTTTTGAACAACCTACGAAGTATGACGGAAGCCAATAGCTTGGACGCACTCGGAAGTAGACTTATCCCCCGATATTTGTTACAGGAACGACGTGAACCCTTTTTAAAGATAGGGACAACTATTGACTCATTCCATGACGTTGGTACACTCTCTAGTTCCCAGACTTTTTTAAACAACGTCATCAGTTCCTTAGTCAAAAAGTCACCACCATCTTTAAAAAGAGCCGGAGGTAAGTCATCTGGGCCAGGTGATTTGTAGCGCTTCAAGAGTTGGAGTTCCTTGCGTACTTCCGCCTCATTTGGTGGATCAGTCGTCACCGTCCATGGAGGGCAGGACAGTCTGACTGATGTTGCCGGAGCAGCAGGCCAGTTGAACTGCCCTTCGAAGAATTCTGCCTATAGTCCAAAACGTCGATGGATGTTAGTGATCGGCATCCTGTCAACCTCACAGATTGTTTCGCTCACATCAGACGTCTTGCTGCCAGTGGCTCGGATGAGTTGGAAGAGCTTCCGGTAGTTACCAGATGCAGCTGCTGCTTCCAGCTCATTAGCACGCTCCGACCACCAGGCTTCTCGGTCCTTACGCAAGCTTTTAAGATTTCATTAAGTAACATCCTTCGTTTGTGGTCAAACTCACGGTCACCCGGAGTAGACCGACGGGCTTCAATGAGTTGTAAGGAACCAGAAGAAACCCAGTGCTTAAAAGCGGGACGTTTCGCAAACCCACAACTGACTGTTCCCGCCATTTTCATGGCGTCATGCAATTGCAACCAATGCTCATCTATACTTTTCGGTGGAGTGGTAGCTAGCCTAGAGGCTAGCTCGGTTCGATACTTACTTGCAACAGAAGTTGCAACCAGCTTGCTAATATCAATCCGTTGATGGCGGTCACTTCGTTGTCCACTGAAAAGTAAGGCAAGATTGGCGCAGACCAGGGCGTGATCAGAGTCCAGATAGGTGCTCCAAAAGGAGCGGCAGTCTTGTACACAACCACGCCAGCTGATCGCGATGTGATCAATCTGAGTCCAGGTTTGAGATGCAGAGGGAGGACGCCAGGTGGCACATCGGCGATGACTGTGCCGAAAGTTAGTGCTAGCCAGAAACAGGTTGTGGTCTGTGCACAGTTGCAGTAGACGGTCCTCTTTATCTGACCTGCGACCAACAATTCCCCATCGGCCACCTAAGCGACTCTCTTCTGTGCCTAGACGCCCGACCTGAGCATTCAAGTCTCCGGCTAGTACTACAATATCTGTCGAACGCACTTTCTGGAGAAGAACAGATAACTGGTGGTAGAGCTCATCCTTGATCGCATCCGGGTTGCAATCTGTCGGGGCATAGGAGGAGATGACGAAAAGACATCGTTTCTCACGCCGATTTCTTCTCACTTTCACGGGACTTTCTAGTCTAACAGCACATAACCGACTGTTAATGGGGATCCAATCGACTAGTGCTGCCTCAGCTGTTGCGCTTAGTGCGACACCAACGCCAGCAAGACCAGACGAAGATGCCACAGGGTCCCCGGATAAGCGCACGTAAAACAAGCTTTTCGAAGCGACAGATGGAGATCGAATTTGTAGTACTTCGCCAGAGTCTTGAATACGGGTCTCGGATAGACAACAAACATCAATATTAAGACTTTCCAAAGACATAGACAGACCTATCTGTTGTCTGACCTGCATAAGTGTGCGAACGTTGAAGGCAGCCAGTTTGAATGGTGCACGTGGTTTCAGAAAAACTGCTTCAGTACTCATATACAGTGGAAACATACAATTTTCAACCAGGCAGTGACTCGAGAACGTTTAGATACAGTCTAATTTCCTCCATGGACGAGCTGTTATATAAGTTGAAAAATAAGGATAGACAGAGTGGGAATAAAGGAGAGTGAATAAATGACGTAGTAAATAATAATAATGGTAATAATAACAATAATAATAATTCGAATCATTTGTTTGTTAATCGAAGCAAGAAAAGTAGTTTCCATAAATATAGATAGTTCGTCGTTTGTGTGTGGGCTGTGATACTGCCCAGGTGCCCAGACTGAAGCAGGTGGCTATCTTGGGGGGCCACACCCCGGGCCTTTGACCTAAAGGTCTAACCCACAAGGCAGTGGAGCATCGTAAGGAGATGCAGTCCCATGGTAGCCGGTGACCGAAAATTGGTTCATACGCCATTTGTTCCTGCAGGATACTGGAGCCCATGTGCACCATTGATTTGGTTTGGGATCCGGTTAAAGCTACGGACATTCGCTTTTCGTCCTCTCATTTTTGTAAACAACACCCCCGCCACGAGAAGGTAGTGAGTAGGACTTCCCTGGCAGAGGCTGTATACGCGTGGCCGTGTGAGAGTATATAGCGACTCACGTGCAATTGGGTTTATTCTCATTTAACTCAGTTAAGCCTTTTTGCTAACTTATTTAGCGGACAAAGTCATCCGCACTATAACAATTTATTGTACCCTTATTATTTTGTGCTTGTATGAAATACGTATGCTTGAATATTGCTTACGGCCTACGCATTTATTCACTCTGCAAGTCTTACTACTAACTGCTTATTTGATTCGATTACTCATTCATTTCACGTGGTATATATATGTCCATGTTATTCATATTCAACACTCACTCACCCACTCAGTCAACACGCTCTCGTCTCGCTCTGGCTCTCGCTCGCTTGCTTGCCTTTCGGCACAACTCTTCTATGCTTGTTTAACGCATCTGTACATTTGGATATATGTGTGTGGTCTCGCAATAAACGTAATCAACACTTCGTATTTGCCTTCTGATTGATATACCGTTGGGACGTCATATAGAACGGTTATCAAGACGAACTGTTTACGAAGTTTAAGGATTATATCGAATACCGACCACCACAAGTATTTCGAGAGGGAGGGCGAACCCACCCCGCTCTCGGTCATACCAGGGCATTTGGGGGCACTAATTTCTGTTCATTGGTGTTCCTCCTTTATCATACGCACTTTACCTTCTGTCTATTCACAAGTTATTTTCTGGTGTATATGTATTTGGTGCCCCCTTGTACCATTGTTTGTGTTTATATAATAACAGTTGTAGGAATGCTGCCTTTGATTTGATCCGTGCTTCAGCATCTACATCAGATCTTCCCTGTTTATCTATGATGCTACCTAGGCACTTAAAAGTTTCCACTTATTGTATAGTTCCTCCATCATGTATGATTTGATTGTTCACTGTTGTACTCTAATATGCTTTTGGGAAAAACGTCGAGACCAGTTTATCAACGATATTATTGAAGGAATTCTGTCACGGTTGCTTAGGTGATATAATCAACGTGGAACATTAATATACTAAATTTTTATACAAATAAATTTCAGATTTAATAAGTCTTATGAAACATTGGTCTGTTTTTTTTCAACCCTAGGTTTTTATGTATTCTCGACTCTCTTTCGTCTTGTACCAGCTGTCTCCGATATTCATGAATCATTAACATTGCCTTCTCCTGGAGCCCGAAATGTCAATGGAAATAAATTATATCTTGGCCACAATGTGGAGTCTGAAACCAATTTTAATTATGATATTCCACCAGGATATAAAGACGATGTACTTGTCGACGTCAATAATATGTCTCCAAGTCTAGTGTCGGATACTCAGAAACATGAACGTGGATCCCATGAAGTCAAAATAAAACATTTCAGTCCTTACATTGCCGTTTGCGTGACAACTTTCTCTTTGGCGTTTTGTTGCTTCATGGTCCACGGAGCAATCACAAGACAGCCAACTCACTTACTCCCGTTTTTCTTTATTCAAGTCTTTGATCTTATCATATGTTTAATTCACATACTCGGATTCATGTCCTCTACATCAGATATACGCTTGGTAATTCACACAAAAGTATGTTCGTTTGCATGATATTATTACAAGATAATTTGATGCTGGTGTCTGCAATGATTGAGGTTCAAAAATCACTTTTTGTTGTTTGCTGCATGTTAGTTAAGTAAATTACTCCAGTTACTGTTCTCACTTTAGCAAACACTGCAAGCATCACTTCAGAAACCAGAAGGTTACCTATAGGTTACTATGTTATCGACAGTAACCTCTTACCATGCGAACATAATATTAGAAACTTCTGTACACGGAGGTTATATGGCAGTGACTGACCAGTTCAGTCATCAATTAAGAACAAAGTACGAGCTTTAATAACTAAAATCTATCTTTTGAACTTTGAATCCATCATACATTATACTCTGAAATGCGGTTTAATGGTTTAAAGACTGACTTAGTTTTATATTGAGTGAAACATGTAAGTATTTATTGCCTTTTACGAAAATAATAGTCGTAACTTTTGGGTGATATACCAACTTCCTTTGCTTGAGTACATAAATACTTATGTCGGCTGTAACGATTGTGTAGATCTTTAGTAGCATTGAAATCAGCTCTTTCTGTGGGAGTTTTGTTTCCTGAGCTAGATGGTTTGACCGTGGAGCTTCCATTGTTTTTCTGAACAACATCATCGGCTCAAAGTTTGGGTAGAAGTGAAGTTTTCGAACCAATAGACAAATCCATTCAAAATGATAGGCAACCAAATCTCAAGAACTTCAAACAAGCTTGTCAAAAACAGGACAAATATCAAAACAGGATCAATGGAAAATGGAATCCAATGAACCATTACTCCCTCGATTCTATGGTAGGCTGAAAATACACAAACCAATCATCCCACTACTTGCAATCGTAACACTCCCCAGAACACCAACATACAATTTGTCAAAAAAAATTTCACGAATATTGGGACATTCAATGGATTCATCCGATTACTCCATCAAATATCCTATACAATTCATGGGTTAGATTAAGGAAATTCAAATCAACGACGAACTGATGATATCGTTCGGTGATGCAGTCTTACTCACCTCACTTGAAACACGCTTAGCAAAGGAAACTCTAATACTGCTCCTCACAAACGACACTAATCTCGCAAAGTACACGAAGCTTCAAAGTCAAAGCTTACTAGAACTCATCGATTTATGCTTAACAACATATTTTCTATTCCACAGCAAAATCTACGAACAAACTAAAAGAACATCGATGGAATCACCAATATCAGGACTTATTGCATAAGCAGTGATGCAGAGACTGGAAGTCTCGATCTAACCAGTGATCAAGCCAAAATGTTGGGTTCCCTATGTGGACAACACATTCGTCACTGTCGAAAGGGACGAGTTGGAAAACGCCTAGTATCTGACCAGCAACGTCTTCGATGACATAAAGTTCACAATCGAGCAATAGTCAAACAATGATTCTTGGATGTATTAACCACTAGAACCGATACAGGGAAACTGGAGACTCAAGTATGTCGGAAGCCGAATTACAAAGATCGAATCCTCAATTACAGTAGCAACAACCCAAGAATTCACAATATCAACTGCGTACAAACTTTACTCAACAAGGCGACGACACACTGCCAACACACTTGCATTGCGGAAAAATGAAGGAAAATACCTAATAGCTATCCTTCGTAAGAACGGCTACCCAATCAACTTCAGCAAAATATGTCGATCCGACGCATTGGTAGAAAGGAGGTCGAATGCAGAAACCAACAAACAGATCATTCTACCATATATAAAAGACATCAGAAATCACAACGAGATTGTTGAAGTTATTTGGAATAGGCATAGCACACAAACCAACAAAATCACCTCAATTAATCCCATGCAAACCAAAGGACGAGATGACGAAAGAAGAAAAACCGAACATCATCTATAAAATAAATTGTTGCAACTGCGAAAAATACTACATCGGACAAAGTAGACACTCCCTTCATCTTCACCTGGACGGACATCAATTAGCAAACAAACGCCATGATATATCCTCGCTTATATCAATGCATGTGGACAACTGTGGACACATATTGGACAGGGAAAATGTTGAGATTTTGGATAGAGGGAATTCTAAAAACACCATAGACTCTTTAGAGGCTTGACACTCAGGTCAATCAGCAATCAACAAACACACTGGGATCGATCCAATTTATAAACTAATCAGTAAGATCATGTACAAATATAGGACCAAGAATCAAATCACTGGGAGAAACAATCAAAATAAAGAAGTAAACAATGACAGGTTAAAGGTCAACAATAACCAATGAAGATCGGGGTCTAGTGGACAAGCTGTGAGTCATATGTGGAGGAATTCGAACACTTTTCTTCTACCTGAAATCTGTTCTGACGATGTTCAGGAGTACGATGAAAGATTCACGGTCGAACAAGCCAGCTAAGAAAACAAAACACCAAAACCATCTACCTGAACTATAAATCTCTGTCGTCTCGCAACAACTTCAAGGGATTTGTTATATATATACCGCATAAGTATCCGGGAACACGACATTTTAAAAGAAACATTCATGAATAAAAAAGCGTTTATATACCAGTATGTATAGTCTCTTCATGTTATATAATTCCTGGAGTATTTTGTGTGCTTTACGATCATATAAACTTCAAGGATTTCCTTGACGACATTAATGTTCATACTCTTTACCACTTTATGATTTATCCGTATTTATAATTGTAATTATTATTTATAATTATGTACTGTGGTGTTTAATTATTATTACTATTGTTTCTGGTTTGTAAGGAGCTGAAGAGAAATCATAATATAACTGAATGTATCTTATTCTGTTTTGTTTGTTGTTCTTTCTGAAGTAATAATATTTCTTTTGGAAGTAATGTGAGATGTTTTTCTGCTTTTAGACAGGGCCTATTTACATCAAATCTACGGGTTTGACTTTTATCATATTGTCCATCTCATGCATGATGTTGGCATTCAAAGCCTATTGTCTTGGTATGGTATGGGACTGTTATAAATACTTAATGCTAAATCGAAGAGGTAACCTACTTGATGATTGGTATTCCGACCAGTGGGGTCATTTGTCAACTTTTTGGAGTTTACTTCGGACTGGTCGTAATCGAGGCAATAATTCGATTGGGAACTCTGGTTCTCCTAATGAGCCTAATACAAGACCTCGTCCTGATACAATTACATACGATCCAGCTAACGATCTACCAAAGTATGAGGCAAGTAGTAATCAGTGTTATCATTCGTGTTATGACTTTTACTCATGTTCAGCATTATAATACGTGCACACCCTATGTCAAATCGGCCAGCAGGTCTCTTTGGCTAAAACCCTAGAACCCTGGAACACATATATAGGATCGTAGTGTGGTCATTCACTTGAGCTCACATCGCCAGAACGGAAAGCCAGCATCAGCAGTGATATCTATTAGTGATTTAAACCAAAGGGTTACGAAAACTCAATGGATTTCTAGTAAATCTTTTACACTGATGAATTCTGGTAAACACATCCCATCAGGATCTGAACACGATAAAGAAGGAAAACAAAGCAGATTTAGGTTAACCAAAAGTCTAAGGAACGACCGTGAGCAGTGGTGCTCAACGAAAGCAAAAGAGATGGAAAAAGCAGCGGCTGTAGGTAACACAAGACAGCTTTTCAGACTAATAAAAGAAACTGAAATGAAGAATTCAAATGTGAGACAATTTGGGAAAAAGACGACATTTATCCGCTTTCAGCCCAGACGTTTAGAACGATGGATGGAACACATTAAGGATCAGTTCAGCTGATCTTCAGCTACTCTACAACTATTGTTATAATTTCCTCTTACTACAACCCAGCTATTCCTACTACTTAGTATTCTTGGACACCAATTCACTCGACAAGTCACCAAATCAGGACACGGTTGAACAGGAAAGAGGTTATATTCCAAGTAACAAAGTTAGATGGAAGCAGGAAGCACAGTAGGAAAGGCGTTAGTTTATCCATAGTTTTTACATGAGAAGATTCTAGAGTGTTCTCCAAGTATCGACTAGCACTGATTGGATAAGAATTAGTCAATCAGCGTGCGCCAAAGCAGTCGTGCATTGAGTGTACTTTAATTCAATTTATGCCCCACTAACAACTACCATTCATCCGTAGACCGCGTGAATGAAACATTTAAGTAGGTCCTTCGACTCTAGCTGAAGTTCAAAAGACTATAGCTAATCTGAAATGAGGAAGAACAGCTGGTCCAAATGAATTAGCTTCAGATGTCTTTAATTATGGTAGTCTAGTTTTAGCGATTAGGTTAACTAACACTTTAGCTGAAATCCGGGTGTTGGACGTAATCACATCTGACTGGTCGCAATCACTTATCGTCCCAATATATAAGAAGGAGTCAAAATCATCCATTGATAATCATGGAGGGATTAGTTTGACAAATATATCATCCAAAGCATTAGTCTCAATAATTATCGGATGCCTAACAAGGATTCGTGAACTGCAAACACGAGAAAACTAGTCTGGCTTCAGACCTGGTCGTGGCTGCATCGACCACATATTCATCATTTGTCACGTTCTAGAACACAGGCATGCTTATTGGCGACTGATAATGATGATTATTCTTGACTTAAATGCAGCATTTGACTCTATAGATCGAGAGGTTCCGTGGCATTGTCTCTCATTGAGTAGCGTATCTCAGACGTACATAAACCTTGTGAAAGATTTTTACTCAAACACCACTGGTCGAGTCAGAGCTTATGACGAACTGTCATCTGATTTTGCAACCTCTGGTGGCGTCGAACAAAGTTGTCCACTATTTCCATTTTTTCAACTTGATTATAGACCTACTGCTAGAAATAGTGTTCTCGTCGACTGAATTTTAAGAAATAGATCTCCCACTAGGAGGTGCACTGATCGACTTAGAATACGCAGATGATATAGTCCTGTTTGGCGAAGATGCTGATAAAATGCAGAGTGTTTTGGTGGCACTGAGCAATAATGCCAGGACGTTTGCAATGCGTTTCTTCCTATTTTGAAATTCACGTCGTTGCTTCAGGATTGGGCTGGATGATCACATGAACTAAGAATAGGGAATGAAGTAGTCGAATGCGTCGACGGCTTAAATTATCTTGGAAGTCTGATCTGCCCAAATGTGTTGGTGTCTGACGAAATCTCTTCATGGACTCAAAAGCTCGTTTGGCTTTTGCCAATACGTCAGCCATCGTGAGGGCGAGATATCGGTCAATCAATTAAGGGGCTAGTATACTGTACGACAGTTCATTCTGTTCTACTTTACGGCTGCGAAACATGTAGAAGATACTTGTAGGTTACTAGTATTTGATCATGTCACATGTCACATAAACATTTCTCGTATCAGCTGGGTTCACCAGGTAAGTTATAGTGAAGTTAGAATCAAGGTATTGTGGAATGATGGTAAGTTAGTTGATGAGGTTGTGAGTCTTCATCGGCTGAGACGGTTGGGCCCCGTGTTACGTATGTCTGAACACCGATTACCACGACGAGCAATGCTGACTAGTGTTGTGGATGGTTGGAGGAAGGTTAGGGGCGGCCAAACCAAAACATAGGATCAGTGCTTGAAGTCACTAACTTGTAGTCTGAGCCATGTTGGTAGATGTAGACTACTTGGTTGGGGTCCGCATGACTATCATAACCAACAATTGGAGACTGTGTGACATGGCTGAGAATCCAACACAATGGCGTAGTTGTATACACTCTCTGTCTTCCCTTAAACTGTGAGATTAAAATTGCGTAGTATCTTTCTTTCTACGAACTATTTATTTCTTCTTGTACCACATCGGTCAGTCAGTTTCAGTAGACGTGAGACGGTATTTCGCACATGTTTCGTCCGTGGTGATACTTGAGTCGAAAGAGAAAGTTTATAATTGAAAGTCGACGTAGGAGGAATAATAGGAATTAACAAGGGATATTGATTATGAATACCTTGATCTTGAGTGCTATTAGAGGTATGAGGGCAGTTATCACTTCCCGGTTGCCCACACCAGTGAAGGGTTCTTCTGGAGCTACCTGAGAAGAAAATCGGATTAAAAGTGGTCTTAGTGACCCGAGAGCGTGATCGCAGTGTCAAAGAGGACATTTGCCCAATGTCTGTCACCCACCACGTTTTTGTGAGTAATTTTCGTGATAGCTCCGTACTTGTTGAGACCTTGACGGTGGAGATGGATATCCGTGGGATACGGCGAGGTGTGCATTTTCACGGTCGACCTTTTAAAAGCCCACCCCTCCTTGTGGGAAGGCATCATCGCTGTTATGCCGCTTATCTGAAGGAAACACCTTACTGCCGTCACACCTCTGTACAGTTAGCAATACGACTTCGCTCTCGGACCTTGGGTTTGCTGCTTTTAGTCTTACCGCTTTCCAACCGATTTGTCTGGCATGGTAGGACCTTGCTTAACGATTGTTCCAGCCAGTATAGCTTGACTGGTTCATCATGATAGGCAAGCCTGACCAGCACGTCAAGGTAGCAACAACGGTCAGGTCCTTTACTGTATTCTCACACACAACCTTTCTTTTATATATTACTACCATTGAAGTAATTGCTTCTATGAATTCGGTGATCATCTTGTTATGCTAATGAGGTGTGGCAACTTGGACCGATGCATTTGTGTGCTTGGTCCTACGTTGTAGCTGACTGACTTTTTCGTCCTCTCAATTTCATAAACAACACCCTCGCTGCGAGAAGGCAATGAGTAGGACTTCTCTAATAGTGGCTGTATGCACGATGGCCATGTGAGGGCATTTCGTGATGGAGAGTGGACTCCGCAGTCTTATCTGGGGAGGCACATACGTCAAGGAGACTGATCAATTATAATACCTAGTATAAATGGTAAGATTTAAACAACCAATTTAAATGAATTAAGAGGATATCTTGTTTAGAAAAAATGAATTTTGTAAATGAAAATTCGGTCATGTTTAAAATGAGATTTTTTGGGGAGATTAAGAAGCAAATATATGTGCGCCACTGAGATTTATTACGACTCGTCTCACTTGATGTCTGGTAACATATGATAAGATTATCACCCTGATCACGATTAAGGAGTTCAGAACAACCCGAATTGGCTTCGTAGTTCGTTAGTAAATGCCATTTGGATAATTTAGACGATCCTCATCTCAGTGATTTCACTTGAGGAACTTCGTTCTCGGATTTATTTTTTATTTCTAGTATTTATTCAGAGCGTATATAATCAAATTGTCAAGCAGGATGATATTTGTATTGGTGGTCAAGATAAATCATGTCCCCGTTCTCTTCGATTCGATCTCAACCTTGTGCTGCCAGTGCTTCGACTTTTGGTTTCTTTTATATACTACTTTTGTCGACATAAGTAGCATACACATAATACTCGGGCATTTCGCTTTGCTAAAATGGTGTATCACTTTGAAGTGATGCACATATGAGTTGCCATATGAGTAATTGAATTAACGAAACATTTTACGTTTGTTTCATTTCAGTTTGAAGGTTTCCATTAGTGTGTCCACTGCGCTTTTTATAACATAAGACCTTAAATATCCCGGCAAGTGCTTTGCGATTAAATCACCTAAAATATTATATCCAACTTCTGTCTATCAGTGACGTACTAATCTTTGCCACCAACCAACTAAGCTATAGAAAGCCTAGTTTTATTGTGTTCGTATTCTAATACATTTCATAAATAGCAAGTAGCTTTTATTCAATTGTCCTATCTATATTACATCACTAACTTTTAGGATATCTTGAAAATTCCGGCAAATGCCTACGCTCCTCCACCCTATTACTGTTCTAACACCAACGGAAATGTCAATACAACTACAGCTGATGCTGTTACTACCAATACGACTATTACTTCTGCTACTACGGCTAATACTACTAATACTAATACTAGTACTACAACTAGTGTGATATCAGCAGTTACAACAACTAACAAGGATGATACCCAAATCAATAATGCATCATCGAATGCTCACTCTTCTTGTTAATCTGATTTAATTGTTAATTACACGCACACTGATTCTAAACATTACAAAAAAGAAACATTCTAAAAGTATAGTTTTTTCTACGTCAAATCACGATAAATGATTTTTGGCTTATTAGAAAAACTCGTCTGTTTATGTTTACACACTTATTTTCATTTTCATTTTATTCATTACATCTGTTTGTTTATTTTGTTCATTGTTTCTCTTCACTAAAGTTGATCTGTGGGAGTTCTAAATGTTATTTCTTTACTACATTTTTTTCTGCTTGACGTAATTCGATTAATAAACTTAATTACAAGTACTACAAACAGTCGGATTAGTAGTTATAGCTGAATATATATTTTCACGAGTGCAAGAAATCGGAACTATATCTGCTCACCATTCTGATTTGATCTAAGTATATTTAGCGGGAAAATTTGGACTCAATTACATGTTGCAGTTAGCGTGTTGAAGTGTTCTTCATATATTCAGAATTTCCGTGTAAAGTGGGCTTACTCGGTAAAAAGTAGATCATGTAAAAAAGCTATTGTTTAGCCGTCAGTTGATTTGCTTTTAATATTTTATATAGCCGCTTTCTTACATTAGTGATGAACATTAAAATAAAATCTGAGTCACAGCAAATTCAAGCTAGTGACCTAATCCTAACCATCGGTGTTTTTTGAAGTTCGGGATCATGGTGCTTCAATTGCTTGTAGCTACTCTAAAAGTTATAATTATTTCAAAAGCTTTAGTGTATATCTAAAAGAAATGAAATTTTCAGTTTAAGAATTCATGTTGTAGAATTTCTAGTCACGTGAACTTCTTCGTTTCGGGTCTGGCCACTCTCCGTTTTTATTTACAGACGCCATAGATATAACGTTCTCAATTTCTCAGGGATTATTCTTTTTTTATTTAGAATATGGTGGTAACAGTTACGCGTTGTGGAGTCGCCTACATTATAAAGAGTCTTCTAATCGCTTTTAACAACAGCACAAGCATAATAAGGGTGCGTCCCACTCCCTTTAAATCCGAAATGCTGCTTCAGAACTGGCTGGCATCATCACCCAGACTGATAATACGGATTAAAGTAGTTAAATGCATCGACCACTTTACCTGTCTTAGGAGTTTCATCAGTCTTGATGAGCTGGTGTCTCATAGATTCTTGGCTTTTGGCAACCTGTGTCCTGAGTGAGATGTCTGACAAAGACACTGCTTAGTTTGCTTACTTACACCAGTGACTCCCAATAGAGCATAGACCGCCGACTAGCATTCTCCAACCCACTCTGTCATGGGCCTTCCGTTCTAATTCTATCCAATTGTTGCTCATTCTTCTCATATCTGTCTCCATTTCTCGGAGTAATGTGTTCATTGGTCTTCCTCTTCACCTTTGACCTTGACGATTCCAAGTGAATGCTTGCTTTGTGACGCAGTTGGGTGCTTTCCTCAATATGTGTCCTATCCACTTCCAGTGCTTCTCCATTTTCCTTCCTCCGCTGGGATCTGGTTTGTTCTCTCCCATAGTAGGTTGTTGCTGACGGAATCTGGCCAGGGGATCCGAAGTATTTTGCGTAGACAGCTGTTAATAAACACTTGTATCTTCTGGATGCTGGCTTTCGTAGTTCTACAAGTTTCGGCCCCAACTAGTAGAACTGTCTTGACATCTGTATTGAAAATTCTGACTTTGGTGTTGTTTGACAGTTGTTTTGAGTTCCAGATGTTCATCAGTTGTAGATGTACTGCTCTTACTTTGCCGATCCGTGCCTTCACCTCTGCATCGTTTCTTTCTCCCAGCCCATATCGTCCCATGACATCTTCATGTACGGTGTTGTCCATCCCAACCTTGGCGGTCCTGAGGTTAGATGCAGAGTAATAAGTAAAGATGACAAGTTCGTTAATAAGGTAGTGGATCTTCAACAACTGGTTTGGTTACGAAATGTTTTGCGTCAGATCAGACGCCACCTAGACGGTCGATCTTAGCTGACGTGAATGGGTTCTGGAACTCTAGAGGAGGCATCAGTTTATGAATTCCTTAACTGCTGGTCTGAACCATATTTCCGCATGCGGAACACCTGGTTAGGGCTTACAGGATTTTCACATCCAATAGTTGAAGTCGGTTCACGCTTCCGAATTGGTTATGATTAAGCCAACTTACTCTCTTCTTGTCATTCATTAAATCAGGAGGTTCTGGATTATCTTGTGGTATAATCATCAATGTACAAACGTTAAGAATACGGACTGAGGATATGTGTGTTTATAGTGCTTTCTTCGCTTGTGACGAATTCTAAAAGTTCAAGAGGAAAACATGACAGATTTACTAAGTATAGCATTATATGGTTTTATAGTCGACTTGTACGTTTCCATAAATTTCTACTCTAGATTAGTAATTTGAACAGGGATCCGATTAACGTAGCTACAGACTATTTTTTGAGGTGACAGATGTGTGTTGGCCAGGTCCAACTACTATTACTCGGCGCAACAATGTTCGAAGGAAAGTTAGAGAGACCTTCATAGGACAGGGGATTAGTCCATTAAACAGTCGGTCTGACCTGTTAGTTTCTTTATCGAGGGAGAAAGAGCAATGATTAAATGTGGTCCAGTAATATAGATTCTGAAATCTCATTTCTCGTAGCTAGTCTAAAATGTCAATAAAGGTTTTGAATTCGGATCATCTTGGTCACTGCTATGAAGATGCAACTGAATTACAAGTTTTCATCATCATATTAAGGTTGGGTATGACATATTCAACCATTTGGGAAAGTTACAAAAGAATATGCGTTGATCTCACTGACATGGCTCACAGTAAAAGTGACTACATTATTGACACTTTGAACTAAGATATAACCACTTACTTCACTCCAAGCCCTAACTACTCCAAAAGTAATCGTTCAAAAAGGATCTATTTGGCAAATGACCTGAAAACAGTCCAATTATATTCAAGTTCATTCGGTCACATATCGACAAAATTCGGTAATTATTAGTTATAGGAATTATCAACTGAATAATTGTCTCTTTAATGTAAAATTACAAAATTTAATTATATAGTATTGTATCGGAAATTAAATGAACAAAGTTCACACTATTGAAATATTAACTAAAAGGAAATCACATTTAGAATCAATAAATAATTGTAGATTGTTAACTTCGATAATATGCAATAAAATGACGTGGTTGAATGATAGTTACTCAATAAGACCGGATTATTAACTCAAACCGACGAATAAACTGATACAAAAGATATGACCACTACCCAGAAGAATACTTTCTCTATCTATTTAAATAATACTAAAGTGGTAATAAAGCTAAGAAATAACCATCATGTTTAATTCTTATGTGACATAGAAAAAAGACATTAATCGCTATTTAATCATTTGATTTCCACCAGAACTCCATTCACAGGTTAAAAAAGGTTAACCTAAAAAGAAGTATATACCTTGAATTATTGGTTAGAATAGTTTATCAGGTTTGCTTTAATAGGACCAAGTTGTGGAAGTTAATATACTGTCAGTTTGATATCACTAAATAAGCTAGGTGTGAACCATTAACTGGTTCTTCTTTGGTTATTAACAAATCAAGAAACATTTTAATCTCAAAATTCAGTGAGACTAATTTGTGGACGACCTTCGAGTAACGCCAAAGTGACCTTGAGATAACTCACAGGGTGAATAGAGGGTTACAAACTAGTATGAGGAATTAGCATTAAGATTTAGAATGAGAGGTTAAGGTTAGGAGTTCGAGTCTGAGTTTTCATCACGAAGTGACATCAGCTTTAATCCAAATTTTGCACCAAAATCCAAGACTTGCTATTCTCAATTTCACTAGTTCGTCCATAAATTATTGTCTATCCTAAACTTTTCTCAGCAATTAAAATGATTAAATTAAATGAACTTATTTAATATTTATTGTTTGTCACTAATAAAAATAAGTGCCCACCAAATACAATGTGTTTAATAAATCCAGTCCAGTTTGTGAAGTTCATTTGACCACTTCACATAGGTAAAGTGATACTATCCCTTCTTCACGTTTATACAATTTTCAACCTGAAAAAAAAGAATTTTTCTTATAATATACCGTGATAAAAGCTGCTTCACTTTATTGTATGAGGTTTCAATTATATATCTCTCAGATATTTACTAATTGGCACGTACAGACACTCTCAAATATTATTGGCTATTGACAGACAATATATTCTATGCCACATCTAATTGACCAATTTTATAGTGACTTCATTTCATTGTGTATTTCTGCAAAATAGAACTTTCATTATAGATATCTGGTTGTTTGATAAATATAATCGAACAAGAATGGTCATATGATTAGGACTACTGAAATAAGATAATGTAATTTTATGCTTTATGGTATATAACAGTTACACTGTTGAGAGATCTGAGTTTAGTTCGCATTTAACCTTCTTGAATTTAGAGTGTAATATCGTCAATGCATCATCAATATGTGAAAATTAATCTCTCGTAATTTCTTACCACTTAAGTTGTGTACTATGATTTAAAGTGATGGTTCCAAGTGATGGTACTTTGTAACACTTTACCAGTCATGCTTCTGTTGATGCAACTTTTGTACAGTTCAGTATTTTAAAAATGTAGTACGCTTACTGATTTCACTTAATGCTTTCATCATTTATTTACTGACCTCTGGTGGCCTGATAATTGATAACGTTCGATTTTATTTTAAAATAATGAGTAAAAGTATTCTAATTGTTTCCTTTGTTAAAGTGTCTAACTGGAAAAAGCCTAAATATGTACTTTATGGTAAAATATCACCCTATTTACTATTTCATGATCTATGATTCATTTATAGTGTGTGTTTTCCCATTCTATTTTGTCAACCCATACACACACTAAAAATAAAAAAAGAAATTAGTATTATTGATCTCTTTGAAAAATAGTAGCAATATGTTGTAGTCTAAAATATACTTGTGTTATCGATTCAGAACTGATGGGCTCAAAATGTCACTATATGCTTAATTTCATGTGACTTACAACATACCATTAATTGTTTTGGAATAAAATCAATAAATAAATAAGTAAACAATAGTTTATGAAGGAACAAAGCTATACATACTGCAAACATTTTCCCTTATTTATATGCATATAAATACCTTTAGATCTTCATTGTATTGATTGTATTGTTTTGTTGCTTATCTACAAGTTATTGAAATTCTGTTCAGCTACTTGAATTTGATATCTAATGATATAAGTAGTTAACGAAATGCTTTAAACTCTCATTCAGTTGTTGTTGACAATTTTATTCACTTGCCCAACAACTAAATCAAGTTTATCATCAAGGTTTGCAGAATTAAATGAATTTATTCTATTATTGCGAACAGCTTAAAATCGCAACAAATAATATAATTATGAACAAAGGTTAACATTAGAATCCTATCTCAATGTTCAAATATTGTTAGGGAAAATTTCTGATTTTAGAACCTGTGTTCCTTAGTAACAGAATCCACGGGTGATAAATGATTCATTCTTCAATCGTGCTCATGAATACAAAGTGTATATGAAGTTAAAGCAATCAAATCACAGGAGTACTTGCATATATTGGTCAGCTTTAACTAATTTAAATAGAGCAAGAATAAACATGGATGCAGAATAGTATGAATTCATATTATTTCGAGGTTTCTCGTTAGCTGCTTACAAACCAAAATTGTGATAGAATTTTTACATGGAGAT